ATCTGCATCTGATCCACCGTGTTCATCAATGATGCTTCCCAGATATGTAAATGTTTCCACATCCTCCAAAGCTTCTCCATCAAGTGTAATTTGATTGGTGCATATTGTATTGTATCGGAGAGTCTTGCTTTTCCCTTTGTTTATATTGAGACCTACTGCTGCTGAGGCTGCTGCTACACTGGTCGTTTTCTCCTGCATTTGTTGTTGCGTTTGTGATAGAAGAGCCAGATCATCCGCGAAGTCTAAATCTTCAAGCTGCATCCTACCTGTCCACTATATCCTGTGCATTCTTCCAGATGTTGACGTCTTCATGATCCAGTCGATCACCAGGAGTTACTGCCGGTCCCAAGTCTGGTTAAAGGAGGAGGGTTGTGCATGGGGTTAGCGACTCCATCCCGTAGAAAATCAACTCGCTATAAAAACGCTAACTAGAAATAAATTAACTACACATTATATAATTTTACATTGAAAACTGTGAATCCACCTTGAGTTTGAAAAATTACATAGATATCGAAGATCAGTCAAAATGCAACTATTTGAAGAGAATTTCTTTATATCTTTGCCTATGAATTTCGCTTATAAAAATGAATTCTTTAATATAGATATTACTCACTTAAAATCAATCCATTATCAAACCACCAGTCCGTAAATTAAAAAAATCTTGTTTTATATTCAACCACACAATGTATCATTAATTACATAATCTCTCTCTAGTGAATAACTAAGCTGAGTAACTAGTTTATAATTAATTAAACAGGAATTTAGGAATAGGAAAATGTATCACATGAATTAGTGAATCAAGCTATAACTTGTAATTTGGACGATGTGTAAATACAGTAAATCCATACAGTAATATGTAGATTGATTTCTTTTACAAAAAAATTTCATAGTTTATCAAATGCATTTCCTCAATTAAGTTTCAAAATCTTTTTTTTTCCCAAATGTTATTGTTTTTAGTCTTCAATAGGGTTTTATACATAAACACTCTGGTTTACATTAAGGTTTTTTGTAGTAGTTGGTTTGTCTTCTAGGTAAGAAGGTTAAGATAATAGATGATATTGTAAATCTGTACCAAATTTGTTGGATCATAATTTACGGTTACCATAGCATGAATGTATACACACATAGTGGACGGAAGGTGCAACTAAGGAGTAAATACAAAGTTAGCCAGACTGATGCAATAAAGAAACGTCCAATTTATTTGTGCATTCTCAAAGAAATATTAGTTATCGATAAGTCGAGATAAGATGAAGAGTTCACATTTCCTCCAACTCAGTGTAAAATTTTATAACATGGCTTATTCCAAATAAGATATTTTGATATCAATTTCATGTTCTCGGTCAGTACGATATTGAAGTCATATATCCAACTATAGCATTATTTTAGGACAATATACTTTGTGTAGATAAAGTGTAAAATCAATTCAGTATGGGAGGTGTGAACATTCGTCCAGTGTGACAATTTTATCCCTTGTATTATCCAGCGTGAACGTCGTAAATGCTTTACAGTAATCCTGTGTATCATTAACGCTGACTGTAACTCTTCTAGAGTTACTGCCGGTCTCAAGCCAGCATAAAGTAGGAGGGACGATAATGGGGTCAGAAACCCAATCCCATAGAAAAATGTCTTGCAAAACTAACGCCAACCAGATTAAACGAATTAAACAATTTTAACTCTGACATGAGATTTAAAGTAAGAATTATCACGCCTCACGATGATAGCCGAGATTCTTCGAAAGTCACGAGACCGATGTTCCTTCTAACAACCAGAGCAACAAGTTTTATAGGTACATGGAACGTCCGTACAATGTAGGAGAACGAGGAAAATGCTCCACACACTCAGGGAGTGGCTCGAATGCTATCCAGCGAAGTACGAAACGCACTTGCGGAATGGGAATCTCATGGATCAGGGATAATCATTGCATCATTCAAAACAAAAAAGGAGGGAATCATAATGAATGTTATCCAATGTTATGCACCCACAAATCAAAGCAACAACGACAATAAGGATCAGTTCTATGAGAGGCTACAATGAATCATGGCGAATTGTCCAAGAAAGGACCTGACCATTCTGATGACGCTGAAGTCGGAATGGACAACACAGGATATGAAGATATCATTGGACAACATGGACTGGGAGAGAGAAACGAAAATGTAGAGAGATTTGCAAATGTATGTGCACTCAACAAATTGGTTATAGACGGTACAATATTCCCACACAAACGCATACACAAAATTACATGGGTCTCACCGGAAGACACCATGGAGAACCAAATAAATCATATTTCTATCACCAAAATTTCAGAAGAACAATCAAGGATGTAAGAATCAGGAGAGGAGCTGACATGGCTTCAGATCACCTTTTGGTTGTGGCCAAGATGGGACTGAAGCTGGAGAAACACTGGATAACTGAGGAAACAGCATTACAAAGTTTCAATGCAATCTTCCATCTAGATACTAACAAACTCAACAAATTCAAAATAACTCTCAACAACACGTTTCAAGCCTTACTGGATCTACAGAATGAAGAAACTACTATGGAGCACAACTGGAAAGGTAACAAAGAAGCATTCACTTCAACGTGTTAGGTGGTCTCGAGTCGCAGGAAGTATCATCATGTGGAATGGATCTCTATGGAAACCCTAGACAAGATTAAGAAATAATGAACAGAAAGACAGCAATTACCAACAACCGAACAACATCAGATGAAGTCAAGGTACGAGCTGAATACACGGAAGCAAACAAGAGAGTGTAGTGAATCATTAAAGATGACAAGCAGAAATACGTGGAAGAGCTAGCAAGGGCAGCAGAAAAAGCTTGAAGATAAGGAAATTTGAAACAACTATATGATACAACAAAGAAACTAACAGGGAAATATTGTAAACCAGAGAGACCATTCAAGGACAAGAAGGGAAGACATTCACGGAACTTCAAGAACAGAGGAAAACATGGGTAGGATACATCGAGGAACTGCCGAATAGACCTGCACTATTGAATCCACTGGACATCAAAGCAGCATCTACATACCTTCCTATATATGTCACTCCGTCAACGATCGAAGAAGTCAAGATGGCTATCAGACAAATCAAGACTGGGAGGACAGCAGGATTCGACAATATACCAGTTGAAGAACTGATGTCAAACACTGAAGTAACTGCAAAAATACCTAACCTTTTATTGAAACAGATTTGGGAGGAAGAACAGTTGTCGATGGACTGGAAAGAAGGACAGCTAATCAGCATGCCAAATAAAGGAGATCTGAGCAAATGTGAAAACTACAGAGAATCTACAATACGAACGTCAAGACAGTTTTTCTGTACAATTATGAAACTTAGAGAACTAATACAACCATCCTCAAAATAGTACAAGGATTTCTAAACAATTGTCTACTCAAGATACTCAATGTCCTTTGTCCAAATACTATCAATAACAGCCTTCTATGGGATAGAGCAAACCAAGTCCCAGCTGAGGAGGAATTTGAAAAAGACAGTGAAAGTGGATAGGACATATATTACGGAAATCATCGAACTGCATCACGAGGCAAGCACTAACTTGAAATCTTGTAGGTAAATAATAATGCTTCACCTTTCATTCAAGATGATTTGGGAGGAAGAACAGTTGTCGATGGACTGGAAAGAAGGACAGCTAATCAGCATGCCAAATAAAGGAGATCTGAGCAAATACGAGAACTACAGAGAATCTACAATACGAACGCCAAGACAGTTCGTCTGTACGTTTATGAACATATCAAATAAAGGAGATCTGAGCAAATGTGAGAATTACAGACGCATCACACTGTTTTCAGTCACAGGAAAAGTTTTCAATAGAGTGTGTCTGAAACGGATTTAAGATGCAGTAGACGCCCAACCTCGAGATCAGCAGGCTGGATTCCATAAGAATTGGTCGTGCAGAGACCGAATTGTGGCACTACGGATCACCATTGAACAATCAGTTGAATGGAATTCGTCACCGTACATCAACTTTATTGACTATTAGAAGGCATTTGATAGTGTAGACTGGAGAAAATTATGGAAACTTCTTCGATACTATGGATTTCCAGAGAAGATTGTCAACATAATCCAGAGCTCATACGACGGACTGCAGTGCAAAGTCGTGCATGGAGGACAGATGACAGATGCATTTCCAGTAAGGACAGGAGTCATACAAGGCTGTTTACTCTCCCCCTTCCTCTTTCTTCTTATGATTGACTAGATTACGAAGACCTCAAAAATCTGAGGGGAAGCACGGAATACAATGGACATCTCGGAACCAATTAGACGATTTGGACTTCGCAGATGATCTAACTCTCCTATCTCATACACATGAACAAATACAGACGAAGACAACTAATGTAACAGCAGTCGCTGCATCAATAGGCCTCAATATACACAAAGGAAAAAGTAAGATTGCCAAATACAACACGGAGAACACCGACCCAACCACGCTTGATGGCGAAACTTTGGAAGAGGTGGAAACATTAACGTACCTTGGAAGCATCATTGATGAACAAGGAGGATCGGATGCAGATGTCAAGATGGGGATTGGCAAAGCAAGGGCAGCATTACTACAATTGAAGAACATAAGAGACTCCAAACAACTGTCAACTAATTCCAAAGTGAGAATCTTCAATACGAACGTCAAGACAGTCCTACTGTACTGAGCTGAGACGTGGAGAACTACTACATACATCTTCAAGAAGTTACAAGTATTTATAAACAGTTATTTACGCAAAATACTCAACATTCACTGGCCGGATACTATCAGCAACAGCGTTTTATGGGAGAGGACGAACCAGCTTCCAGCTGAAGAGGAAGTTAGGAAAAGACATTGGAAGTGGATAGGATATACATTGAGGAAATTACCAAACTGCATCACGAGGCAATCGCTAACTTGGAATCCGTAAAGTAATAGGAAAAGAGGAAAGCTAAAGCACGTTATGAAAAAGATGAATGATAATTGGAATGAACTGGGAAGGATTGACCAGGACAGGGTCGGACGGAGAATGTTGGTGAGCGGCCTATGCTCGTCAACGAGGGGTAACAGGCCTAAGTAAGTAATAAGTAAGGGTGTGGAAAATCAATATATAAGTGAGTGCTTGGTTTAATGACAAGGTGATTTTAGACTACTGGTTGTGAATACTTGTTTTGGGGATGTGTTTTTGGAGAGTTATTAAATTCTCATTTGTACCGGTCTTTGTGTTTTCATTTCGCAATTAGTCAAGTGTATTCATTCCTTTCGGACATCATCCTTTAAATGTTTCTGCTATTCCAATATTTTCCACTTATCTTAGTATTTTTCCATTCTTATGGATTATCATTTTTAGTCCCAAACCTTATTAGGGTAAACTGAAAGAATGCACTGTGTATGTGCTATTCTATACTGGTTCAATGCTACGCTTATGTCTGTTTGTCTCTCATTGATCAGAAAAATGGATTAGAGCTCCCAGTATGGATTTAATAGCTTACTTGTTATCGAAGTAATCGTTCAACTCTGAAAAACCTTCTAAACGGATGTTTCGTCGTAATTTTTGACTCTTCAATATTGTAAAACCAGATCTCTCACAAGGAATGAGAAACATGAACTTCAGTTCTAACCATAAGCATAACACCTATAGGAGATCAACGATATATATATTCAATTTATTTACTATGCAGTTTGGTCCACATTCATTATCATTGACAACAAACATTTTATTAATGAATCAGTCGACTTCGGAGGTTTCAGCTTTCCATTACTAGGTCGAATAAAAGGTTTTAGTGGGAATTTCTGACGTGGGAAGTCGTTCGTGAAGAATTAAAATAATTACTCACTGACAGTACTGACTTTTAGTGTCTCTTTATCCTAAACTACTTGGTGCTATGTTAAATTCCAACCCAATAACTGATTAACATCGTGTTTCACATAAAATCTGAATGCCATGGTCGTGGTTGTGTTCAATTATTATTAATTCTGAATTTAGCAAACAAAATCTCCTGAATCTCCTGGGTTCTGACCTAAATGAAATCTACGTAAAAAATTAACTATTCAATCAAAAAGATCAGTGATAGTTCCTGTTAGTTGGCATGGTAGATATTGTAAACGTTATGTGTAAACTGTAACCTAAACTTATCAGATTTTAGTAATTAAAATTTCGGTGTAAGAAAATGTTTTCCATTTTATATATTTAAACAATGCGAAAATAAATCTTCATATTATGAATTAGTACACAAAATTAGTGAATATTATGTGTACTGTGTTATTGAATTATAGTCGAAAATCAAAAAGTAATGGATCGTTGTTTTATCTCACTCCAAAATTCTTGAACTCTGGTCAATCATGATCCTGTCATTGCCAAATAGTAGTGCTTTCATGCGTTGTACTGATTGCATTGCTTTTATACAAGTGAACTGGTGATTAAGTTATTTTATTAAACAAAAGAAATTCAAACACTTCTAATTTTATATTTTTTTAATTGGCAACATTTTTGTTCATTGATTTCAGATATAATGTTTAGGTCAAAATATGTTGGTTCATATGGATCCATTTCTCGTGAGTGGGAACCTCCGCCACGACCTCCACCTCTGCCACCGCGTATACCACAAGAATATGATCCGTATATTGGTCCAGGAAAATGGTATAGAGGTCGTATAAGATCGTTTAGTATGACTGAAGGCTTTGGCACTATTGTAGCAGATTTTCGTAATGTGGAAGTATTTTTTCACCAAGTAAATTGAATAGTACAATATTGCAGATAATTGTAATATAGCTTTGTAATATAAGCTTTAAAATTATCCCATCTGGTTTATAAATATACATTTATAACAAAAATGAATAAATCAGTGAAAATTCTATCAGTAATCAACTTATAAATAACAAAATTTTGTTAATTGAATATTTACTATAAATTCAATGATACATATACTGATCATCAAATTATCAATAATCGATAAAAATAGATTATTGACCTTTAATTAATAGAGATTCAATGATCAATATTTAGTGTTTTACAAGTTTATTGAATACCTTGTGAAATGTTCAAGAAACCCTAAACAATATAGGTTTGTTTTAAAAATGAAATGAAAGATGCTCACTAGCATAGAGATCTATATTCTTATAATATCAAACAAATAAAACTAAATTGTAATCACATACATTGTAATTAGTACATTAGTAATTAAGGGAAAGCCAAGTGATGTTTTGTTTATTTAAAATATCATTTAAAATAAACACAGAAAAATGAGAGATTTCACTAAAAGTTCAGAAAACTGTCGATTTTCGAAAAATATAAAGATCCTACTTATACTTACACACTTACTTACGCTTGTTACCTCTCATTGAGCATACGCTACCTATCAGGATTCTTCAACTAACTCTGTCCTGAACTCGTTTTTTCAGTTGTCTCCAAGTTCTATTCATCCTTCGGATGTCTGCCTCCGATTCTCTATTCAACGTGTTATTTGGTCTTAATCTTTTCGTCCAACCTTCAGTATTGCTTGTCAGGGCTTATCTCGCAATGCAGTTTGATGACTTCCGAAATTTGTGTCCTATCCAACTCCAGTATTTTTAATTTCCTCTACAGTAAGAAGCTCGTTTGTTCTCTTATACGTTAAGTTGTTGCTGACGTTGTCCGGTCAACAAATATGGAGTGTTTAGGGCAGACAGTAGTTTATAAATATCTGTACACTTTTGATGATGGTTGTAGTAGTTATCCACGTTTCAACTCCTCACAATATGATAGTATTAAAGTCTGAATTTGAAGATTCTGACTTTGATGTCAGTTGACAGTTGTTTAGATTTTCAGATATCCATTGATTGTAGTAATGCTATCCTTGATTTGCAAATCAAAACCTTCACACTACACATCAAATCTCCCTCGTTCATCTATCATGCTGGTCAAATATGAAAACCTTTCCACCACTTCCACTGCTTCTCCATTAAACGTGATTGCGTTTGTGTTCTATGTGTTGTATTTAGGGATCCTGATCTTCTTTTGTGAATGTTGAGGCCTACTGATCTAGATTCTACATCAACTTCCTTTACCTGAATTTGTTGGTGTATATCGGATGGGAGAGCTAGGTGATGTTCGAAGTCCAAATCGTTTAGCCGTGTCCAATCTGTTCATTGTATTGCGTACTCCCTCTGTGATGTCGAGGTCTTCATAATCTAGTCGACCACCAGAAGGAAGAGAAAGAGGAAATACGAGTGTAAGCAGCATTGTCTGACACCGGTCGTCAATTCGAATTCATTTATTAGCTGTCTTCCAAACACGACTTTTTGAAGAGTACTCCGTAGAATGAATTCCGAATAATGTTGACGATCTCCTCAAGCACCTCATAGTGTCAGAGAGGGCTCCATAAGATTCTCCTATCGAAACTTCCAAATGCTTTGACATAATCAACGAAGTCAATGTATAGTGACGAGTCCCGTTCAACTGATTGTTCAACAATTATCCATAGTCTTATGATTTCGTCTGTTCCACTGTTCCTCAGTCTCAGTGATCGGCGTGTTTTCTTTATCCTTGACTGATCGCTCTGGTTTACAATACTTTTGCCTACTAGTTTCTTCATTATATCATTATATAGGTATCTCATATAGCTCATTCTGCTGTCATTGTCAGATCCTACATGTACTTCTACTTGTCGGTTCTAATGATCCATTTCACTCTCTTGTTTGCTTCGGTGTATTCGGTGTGTACCTTGACTTTCTCTATTCTTGTTCGACCTGTTGACTGCTGTCTTCTTTTAGTTATTTGGCTGCAAATGACTACAGAATTCCAAACTGGGAAAAGGTCATTCTTTTATTCACAGTTATGACTTAATACAAAAAAAACTATATGTTTCACGGATGCCTTCATTTTGTTTATTTGCATTCACCTAAAGCTGCGTACAGAATGTAATAAATTGAAGCAATTTGACATTTCTTTTAAATATTGAAATGAATTATTCTCCTAAGCACAATTGGATTGTTGAGAAAGATACATTTGAATGTAATTTAGATTAATACTGCTTACTGGAAGATTTGTACTGTTAGTTTTTAAATACTAGAAAAGATAATATTAGTCCACACGATGAGTGTGAGTTCAGCTCACTGAATTGTAAGTCGCACATACCATTAGTGTCGTTTATCAACATCTTGAGTGCTAGCTACTGACTCATTTTGAATTGCTATTATCTCTAATAATCACTTGTTCAATTTATCTCATATCTCATACCATGTAGGTAACACACAGTCGAACTGTTAATACTGTTTTAATCTCTGAAATGTATACTTTCTAAATCGTTTAGTTAAGCCCACAGTTCCTAGTCTTTTTTCCTACGGATGTACTTGCATTTAGTCATACAAAAATACTGTAACAATCTGCGATTTTCAAAATTTTTAGTATAACCGTCTGTAGTCCTTGTTATAAAGTGGATTGGAAACTAACACCGTTTGTAAAGATGTTTTACAATGACTATGAATATTTAAGTCGTATGATAACCATAGATCGCTATTGTTCCCGGTAAGAAATGGAATTCAAACTTCTATGGAACTGATTGCTGGATCACAGCAATGGGAGAGAGATATTTACAGGGCATCAGAAGTTGGGGTCTTAATATTCGAAGAAACATCTCATAATATAGTCTTATTCTGTTAAGTTTTATCTTCAGTTATTAGTTCGCTTTGCTGTCTCTTGAAAAATTAGTACAGTTTTACAGAAGTAAATTTATATGTGGAATTTTACACTTGTGCTTACACTATATTTAGATATAATTTTAAGTTGATAAAATGACAAGGCAGTGACCACTGTGATGCTACCCAATTTTTAGTGCCAGTCGAATTTTATAAATGGAGTTTCGAATTCGTCAGACGACTATATGACTCGACATTGTGGATCATTATGCTTAATATGGTTGGAGGCAAGAGGCAGAGAGTGACAGTTATAGGCATAGCTCAATAGTTATGTGAATGAACATGACACTGAGTAGTGCAGGCTTAAATCTCATCGACAGGATAATTCCCTTCAAGGTAAGAATAAGACTTTGCAGATGAGTTCTAACTATGGAAACAGACTCCTTTCAGTTACATTCATCCATTCTAAAATTCAATCCACTTCGAATTTTACGCGGTAGCGATATTTGTCTACTCTTGGCATGTGGAAATTCCGCTGCTTAGGACGTCGCGCTAGAAGTTCAGGCTGTTGTTATCCGAGTTCGCTTCAGGTGTGTTATTTCCCGATAAGAATAATGAATGGTAACTTTGGGATCCGTTTATGCACCAATATGATACATATATTTTTATCGTATAATTGTTAAATAACTAAACTATTCATACTCATGTCTCTCTTATTATGAACTTTATTTTGACCTATGAACTATTATTATACGATTTACCACTCTCGAGTTATGTTCTGTCTATCAATTACTATCTCCCTGATTCACAGCTACATACGGCTAATTCTTGTACAAATGTTATTCTCTATTTTATGGTATGATGTGGTCTGTTTGTTTGGTATATAAACTCAATATGTTTGAAATAAATGATTCATATTGAAGAGGCTGTGATCGGTGTTCTGGACTTAACTGTCTGGGCTAGGCAGGAAACAGGACCAACAAGTACTCTAGACTGCTTGTACGGGTTTCGTGTGCCATTGGTCCGATCGATAATTCACTGCTGTCTAAATGGTGGTATTATCACATTATACATTAACAGAGCATCCAGACTACAAGTTATAACAAGGTGAAAATGTGGGTCTTAGTGTAGTGCCACAAGGATTTTATCGTGAGTTCAGTGAGCTCGACTTTATTAAAGATTGTGGCTGCATGACGTTGCGGTTTGGTCTCATAGTATGACAAAACAAATGTCCAGTGCTTTCTTGTTTAAAACCATTCACCACCTTTTATTTCGTTACAAAAATAGCCTAATGTATTCTGGTTGTCTTCCTGAAAACATTCGTTCTAGTCTAACGTATATGGAATTTATGCGGAGCAGTTATATCCAAACTTACCAGTTTGGTTTCAAATACGTCCAGGTGTAAGGGAATTAGAAGGATATAATATTCAACCAGCAATTGAAATGAGAGAAGTTGCTTCAACATCACGAATTCCATGGTCAGAACCAGCAGTTCGTCAACCGTCATTTCCTCTTGGATCAGAGCCATTCAGAATGAAAAGGTTACCTGAAAGACGCAGAACAAGACGATTTCGGTAAGTTTAAGGAATGAATATAGGTTAATGTTTGCTTGAGGGAATTGTAGACCTAAATATTTTACCGATTATTTCGAATAACGTTCAGGATTTTAAACCTAGATTTTGTTTTTCCCCCTTCCATTAATCTAGTAGTAAAAAGATGTATATAGTTAAGTTCTTACTTAAATCGATAACAGTCATACCTACATGTTAAGCAAAAGACCATTTCTGTTTTGAAAACATGAAATTTTATAGTCTGAAACTGGAAACACGCTGACTTTCGTCCAGATGTGATGTCCTCAGTCTTTTCATTACCAGATTTCAATGTTTTGGGAAACCAGGCATATTAAAGCGATTAGAATGTAACCCATAAACCCTACATAGTGACCAGCAGACATCTCAGTACCAAGTGAGTCCATTTCTGGCTTACCTCAAAAGCCTACATTTTGTTTAGCGATACTTAGTGTTAAGTAATTCCAACCATAGTCCGCACATGAAAGATCTACAGTATTCTTCAATATAGATAAACTTTTGCTTATATGGACAGAAGCTCGCTAAACTCACAGATTGGTCGTTTCCGTGAAGTTCGACTCAATGAAACCAAAAAAATCTGGTGGTTAGGGGATTTTTTATTATACCTGTTACTGTTTTTTAACCGTCCTTTGTGACCTTAATTACTGGAATATTGGATTCCATAGTATAACCTATAATGATGGAAAGGATTTGTAGCTCTGCTATGCAGCTTCGGTAGTGTATCATTTTTCGAGTTTAACTAAGAAACTTTAGATGTACTTTAGGAAAATATCTGGGCACTTTAAGAGTAGCAGAGAACTTCTAGAAGCCTGACATTTATTTCAATCTGCTGTTAACAGATACATTAATATTGGTCCAGTTTTTCTATTCATGTGAGAGAATGTTGGTGAATCCTGTTCGACGGCCTACGCTCCACTAGGGGTAACAGACATAAGTATCTGTCCATATGGATACAGCCAATCAATCACATGATGCAAAGTCAACCTAACAAGACAGACTGAAGAAATAAAAAGTCGTATAAAGGTGATAAAACCTGAAAAATAATCTCTGTCAGATCTCCGTAGCGTGAAAAGTACAACGGGGCTACTGAATTAGAAAACAATCCTTAATATTTCCAAACTTGTTCAGTTCATGATATTTCTTAAGCTTTATTCACTTGGATGATTTCGATAAATCTTACTCTCATATGATATCTTTTACAAAATTTCCTACACTCATGCAGAAAAACTTCTGGTTTAGTTGGAAATATAAGATTTAACTATAAATGGTTGCATTTTATACGTTAACTGTGAACTAATTTGTGGGACCAAAAAAGACTTTTTCTTAAGTGACACAACGAATTGGGACGTTATTATTTTTCTGTTTGGTGGTTATCGTTGCTCAATAAAAATCTAGACTATAATCCTATTTAAATTATAAACGATGGAACGTAGAGATAGAAAGTAAGGGTTGATAATGACTTACATCATCTTCGAAATAGAAATCTGATTGTTTTAACCATTCTGACGCGCCTGATGTAAATTTTTTATCATGTGTGAGTGACTGAGTTGTTTTGCGTTTACCGTAAACTGTAAGGTCTGAATTTTGAAAGAGTAAGTTTTACATTGTGTTATGATGGGCGATGACTGAAATCTGATATTTATACACAACGTTATACATGCTAATTAACCACCAGACTACTAGTGCAAGAACACGGAAGTGGATGAGAAAGTATATTAGACTACCGAATAGTATGCACAAATACATGCTTTAACACATACATCTCTACTTCTTGGAAAATTAATCAATTTCTTAGTCAATGATATGCATTTGTTCTTCAAGCCGTTTCAGATTATCATTAAGTGACCCTCTCATTCGGTTACTTCTGATTGGCTTACCATATCACATTGATATAGATCAACTGTAAACTTATGTCTGAAACAGATAACAATAGATCCAAGAGACAAGATATTGTCTAAAGTTCATTGGTTGAAAATTATTTCAGGAGGTGCACCGTTGTATCAGTTAGCTGAGAGAATCTGAGTCAATAAATAAAACTATATTTTCTCCGTGAACATAATTATTCACTTCAGTAGTTAAATAAATTATCAGTAACGTGTTCATTTCTCATCTGACTCCGTTTGGAAACTATATATATGAATTCAGTCCAATACAGGTTATTATCAGCATCGTCCAAACGTTAAGCTGCGTCTGACTGAGTTGCATATTTTATATATTATGTCAGCCATCTTTGATTGTAATAAATGATCTTTACAGCGTATCGTGAAGTGATTGCAGTGAAATGTATAGACTTCAAAACACTCATGCACATTGAAGTTTAGTAAATATCAGTGTTATTTAGATGTATGTGGAATATAACAGTAAGATGAATAAATGCTTATATCCATCAATAATTTCCAAAATAATTTTAAGTAAATTCTTTGACTACTTACAAGTAGTTAAAGACATGCAAGAAAAGAAGAAGACATTGTGAAAGTGAATAAAATACTTTTAAATAAACAGTATATTATTCTAATAAATATGTAAGCAGTGAATACAAACTGTTTAGTACGGTTTTTCCGTTTGAACTGTTGAATTAAGCCTCAGATCACGACATGATTTTGGTCAGATAATCATTGAAAAATGATATCATGCTGTAAAGCTAGTTTATCTTAAGCAAAGATCGATAGTGGCTAGTAGTAGAATCCAGGACGCACGTTTCGTCCTATTTGGGACTCGTCAGCTGGATGTACCTGCATCTCAGAGTTGATGTTCAATTCGGGACTCGAATCCAGTACCTTTCGCTTCAAACGCCATCGCGTTTTCCACTATGCTTCTATCCGTCTTTGCTTACCATGCTTGTGAATTAATGCTATATCGAGGCAATACGCGCAGTATGCACATAAGCCAATTAGAAACTGACCAGTTGCAGTCCCAACATATCGATGGGAAGATTCAAATAAACAATACTAAATGAATCTAGTTTATCTTAGTGTGAATTATTTAATAGATGACATTGGACTATGGACTATCACTATTTGCAACATGAGCGACGTTATTCAGACATCGATTCCATTAATCATCTGGTTATGTATGTATACTGTTGTGGAGTTCAAAAATGGGACAAATTAACTTTTTAGCACAACTTGGTCTACAGTAATTTCCTAGCTAGTGTGTCAGTTTGTGATGAAGCTTATCTTTGAAAAAAACTGCTTATAAGTTTTCAATCACTGATTAATTCCATAATGTCGAGCACGGGTTGATTGACAATAATAAATGCATCGTGACTTTTGTTGTGGGCAGTTTTGCTCATTGTGAAAACTCATGAGTTAGTTTATGTCCAGAAAATCGACTCAGGGACTGGTTTAGAAATAATTGTTGATTTTGAGTTTACTAATGATAATCATCTTCGTAGTCTTAGTGAGCAATATATGTAAGTCAATAAAAGAATCTGTGGGGAATAAATAATAGTTTCGACAACCTAATTACATCTCAATAATGTGCACATGATGTTGCATTTCTTAGACTGTTGATCAAATTGTCACTTGATCCACAGAATTTCGATAGCACATTACACTGATCACTATCCGGTAATCAATTAATTTTAAGTAGTTTCATGTGAATGTTTAAATTTTAATCTTGTTAAGCAGTTGGGCTAGTGATGATAAGAAGGACTGCTGTTGGGAACAGAAATTCTCTTTATTGTTTTCAGCAACTCTTAGAAAAACTGATTTCACTTATTTAAGAGTATTATGACAAACAATAATAATTTTTATTTATGATCTAGGCAGATGAAAATAAATCAAGATTTACTGGTACAAGTTTTCACTAAATATTTTATTATGATAGCCTTAATGTTTTTTGGGTTTAAATCGTTAATTCCATCAAGGAATCGATTCTCGAATTCCCTTAAACTATTTTGGGTCAAATATCTGATGATCAGTTGAAATCTTTACCATACTCCACAAACTATTTTAAAAATATAACTAACTTTGCTGTTCGAAATAAGCATATCAGGTTAAGTGACTATGGTGACTTGAATCGTACACTGTTACCAATAACGAGAAATCATTATTTCTATTATTATAACAGTATAGATTTGATTCATTTACGGGCATTGGGCCTCAAGTAGAAGGTTACAAGAACAGACTGACGTTCGTCAAAATAATTTCCTCCATCGACAGAATGAAAGTCTATTAGTTTGGACTGAAAAAAATTTCAGAAAAATACTAGTATTTATTTCTAGTGAATTATAAATACAGATATATGGACGATGAATATTCTTTCGAATAAATTTTCTTTACGTTATTCTGTTATATATCACAATTTAAAATGCAAAAACAATCAAGATTAAGATAAAATGCATTTTAATAGTTGAGATCATGAATCAATTGAAGCTAGACCATCATAGAAATCCTGGAAGCACTGGACAACCGTTTCGTCCTATTGTAGGGATTCTCAACAGTTCTCATCCACCTCGCGAGATTCGAGTCAGGGACCTATCAGTTTCGCGCGAACGCTTAACCTTTAGACCCCTGAGCTGGCATCCAATGGTGTTAATGTCTAAATTCAACTAATCTACGAAATTAAGCGACACATCCACCATTGTTTTCAGTGAGTTACTATCTGACAAGAGACCTGGTTAAACTCCACTGGTCACTACTTCTCAATAGAACTCCAGGAAATATCTCTTGAAGTCAGTCACTTATGAGAATATGTTGCATGAAATTATAACATGAACTATGAATTGTTTGTAAAATAAAATAAAATTATTAACGTTAAACGTTAAGTTGAGTGAGTTTATACGCTTAATGAAATTATAAGATTATCAGAATTAATATGAATAACATAGAATTAGAGTGAGAAAAGATGTTAGAGTAGTTAAAAAATCCGAATAAATGTTTAATGGTAGACTACTACTTCGTTTGAATTATTAATTTAAATGTATCACTGTAGAACGTATGGATTTTTCATACAGTTAAAATAATTATAACTATATAGAATTTGTTTAAAAAAATATTATTTTTCATTTGTTAGCTGTTATAATTGTGGACAATACGCTTCACATAAAGCTGCCACATGTCCGTATGAACCTATGCGACGACGTTGTTATCGATGTCGTGATCCAAATCACTTAATAGCTCAATGTCCCTTATTACATTCACGTACACCGCATTCTTATTTACTACCTGGACCGTCAACTTTGCAATTACTCCCACAATTTCCAGAACCACGTTCACGCGTACCACAACCATTTTTAGAGACAGTACAAAGACAGTTGCCTCAACAAACCCAACAGCCATTCATGCAATATTTTTTCCCGCCAGGGTTTCGTTATGATGATGATGATGGTGAAGACGATGAACATGGTGACTTTAGGGAGTAACTGATAATTATTTCATTATTCGAATTATATTTCTGTGATATACAAGCAGGGAAAAAACAAACAATGTCAAGCAATAAAACTAGAATGAAAAATGACTGTTAAAATCATTTGAATTATTTGATATTCGCTTATAACTTAGTAGTTTTTTGACTAGGTGTATTAATCTATCTTTCCTTATTATCCACTTGTTTTGTAGGAATCTTTTCTTTTTAAAAATATTATAGGCAATGCATTTTGTTTCAGTGATACCATTATTATTAATGATAATATTATTATTATTATTATTATCGCTAGTTTTAAACATTCAGTAAGATGACGTTTAACAAAAACATCATTTTCTGCCTTTATCTCTTGGTTTCATCCATGTGGATTAAGTTTCTTTTATAGTCTGTCTATCTCTGTCATACATACACACTTACATACACACATACATACATATATTCAAATGTACACAGAAGAGAATTTTTTTTCACTTTTTTTAGGAAACATCTTAAAATAGGCGTTTTCAATTAATGAAGCAATTTAATAGAGAATTTGATATTTCATTCATCTTTCTATAGATTGTTTCCTTTTTCTCTAACTAGAATAATAAAGTAATCAATCGTTTTAGTTATATTCATGAGAAACTTATTATTATTATCATTCATTTGATGGGTACTTCGTATAGTTACTAGATTAAAAGGATACACGGATAGATTTAGTAAATTAAAATGATCATAACAACTAATAAATGAAAGTAAACTGTAAGTACTGGAAGATACTATTTCTTTTTTTTTTGAATAGAAAATGAGCTTTATTAAAAGTTTTCTCATGTATACACTTATTATTATGAATTGCTTTTTATACTACTACTACTACTATCATACTTTTCATACTACTCAAATTAATCAATAGATCTATGTATGTTATGGTGCAGTTTGTTTTTTTAATTGTCTACCTACTTTTAGTATTATTTGTTAATAATTATTTCTTTACTAATGTAACCAGTATTATTACAATATGATTGTTCAGATCTTATTGTTATGTTTGTTGTTAGCCACTTTCATTACTTGGAACATGTTAGTTAATCTGTAAATGAAGTTGTGGAAGAATAGGATTTTTTTTCTTTTCTATTATTAATAATTTCTATTGTTGTTTGAATTGGAATTTTCTTACCTTTCCATTTTATTAGAGAAAATAATACATTTCGCCTATTTTCTATGACAAAAATAAAATGGGATCTAGGAATATGTTTCATGTTAGCAGCTGCTTACATCACTACTAATGAGTAGTTGTCTTTTATTTTTTTTTCAAACTACTCAAATGTCTACGCTAAATTACTGTGGTGAATTGTTTATATGAAAATTTGTTTATGTTCTGATCATTGTGTTTACCATTTTACTTTGATGTGTTTATTTTATTGTTTTGTCTCACATACGCACACACAAACAAAAAAACATTTTTTCGTAATTATTCATAATGATTGCTGGCACAAACGATACTTTTTACTTTACTAAGGAGCTGGTCTCTCCTTATATATTTTTCTTTTCATTTAATATGTCACTGTTTGTTTTTATGATGGGTTTCACTTTTCAATTATTATTATTATTATTACTTTTATTAACTTTTGTGAAAGCTCAGTTAAAATTATTAGGTTCTAAAAACTAACTAAAACTAACTGCCTCTGATTCATTTTGCTTTAAGTTGTCATGGTGACTGTTTGACAATTTCAGCGCCTAGCACTACCACTTATTCAAGCAACCTGGGCATTATTAATTTCCTACAACTTCCATTAGTAGAAGACGATATAATAATTATTATTTTCTGTGTTGGTAGCATGTAGAATGGATTTTAAGGTTTATATTCCGTGTTGAGTATTTTGAAACTAACAATAGAAAACAATACAATGTCAAGTTGTTTTCCCCATACGCTTATTCGGAATTAATGTATTTTACCTTGATAATATTTATCTTGTCTTCCGCATTCATATTTGAGCACTTCCACTAAATAGAAGTTCACAATGATATAGGAGAAAAATTTACAGAATGTTTCCTCGTCTCCTTCAGAGAGTGAAACTGTTAGATGCAGTAATCGTAGCTGGTGATTTCAATACCCAAGAAAGTAGTCTACGTCAAGTTGAAAGACACATATAGGGATCTTTCCTTGTTCTAGCCCTAGGAACAGGTAATGTTGGCCATTTCTTGTAACTATATACAGAGAACAGTTTAATTCTTGAAAGTAATGATTTTAATCATAATAAGAGACAATATCTTGCAAGGTGATATCGATACAAATAAAATTTATCGTTATCAGGCATCGTTGGAAATGTCTTTCTTTTTGGAGCATATTTCCCAACTCCAATCATGTTCTAGTTAGAGCTTATATGTTCGTATATATCACTGGGTGTAAATGAGTCGTAAAGAGAAAAACGTTTTGGGTTTAGCTTGAATTTGAAAATTTTTAATAATGGATTTGGGGAAGAATAAGTAAACCAATCTGTCGATTCCAAATCGGAATTTCGATTTTGGAAGAAACTTAGGACAATAATTTAGTAGCTGCATAGGTAACAGTGATATCGGTCACTAATCTAAACCAAAATTTGAAGAGCGACAGTTGTACACTTGTTTACTTATTATTACCTTTTGAAAAAATTGATTTTCGTTTGAGGTGAATCTCCATTAGTCAACTTTTAATTCCAAAACTTGTGGATATCATTTCTACGTGATCTCCATCTTTTCCTACGCAAAGGATAAAACGATATCCCATAAGTCAGATAACTAATACAGCTCAGTAACCTAGTTACTGACGCGTTACCGTTCATAAAGATGGACGTTTAGTTCTAGCTCCATCATGAAAATCCACAGTTCCTAAAATGAAGGTACATGTGACAGACGAATATGGTATTAGATGAAACTTCCGACTTTAAATGACTTTTGTCTTGCATGAAAATGTATCGGCAGTTATGTTTGCATCATTTAACATAATAATAATAATAATTTGATATTGATTTAGTTTATGTTACAATTCAATCTTTATTTCTATCCATTAATTAAGGTAGAATTTTTCCATTGATAATGGAGTGTTTTGATATCATCTATTAGAAGTCTACTCTTTAAGTAATAGTTAATTAACTGATCAATATTTACATAGTAGTATAATGAGTTTGAATGAAAAGTATATAAAAGCAAATTTTTTAGATAGTTGACTAATGGATTAGATTGGAACTAATGAATATACTTTTACTTGATTAAATCTTTTCTATTTTTTTAGCCCAAGGAATGAAAGACAATTTAATTGTGCAATTATAGAATGTAATTCAGTTGTCTATAACTCACTTATAATCATTAGGATACAATTCTGAATTCTCCATGATAAACTTAACACAACATGATGATTTAGAACTTAGTATATAAATCTATACACAATAACTGAGTTGAAGTGATTTTAATTATTCATCTTTATTGGATATTTGTATAATGTTAGTCTTTATTTTTGATGATGTCTCCTTTTCCTGGAAAAACGTAAAAAATGATATTTTAAATGAGTTGACGGCCTTACCAAACATCTGGGCTACCTGTTCCTGTCATCCAGATATTTCAACAAGTTATCTAATTTCGTTTGTTTTAATACAACATTATGGCTTTTAATCGTATAACATATTCAGGTGCGTTTCTGAAAAGTGTAAGACCTTTCACTGTAAAGGTTACAGAAGGACTAATCAGAGATATCGTGGTTGCTGGCATTATGCAGCTACAAGAATGTACTTTATCCAGATGTCAATTGACTGGGCTGCTAACTTCTAACTGGCGATCACTCAATATTTATCGTCAGGAAAGACGAAGAAGTAAGAAACGGAAACTTGTTGAAGTACTTTGTGCTGAGAATTCTATATTGTACCAAAAATATAATATTGAATAAAGTTAATAATAATAATTCTTTTCAAAATGGATACATTGAACATGCATACATGCATATATATATATATATATATATATATATATATATATATATTCCTCATCCATCAACCTAATCTTAAATGTAATATTGATTAAGGAAAATAATAACAATCACTCACTCTATTCAATAGTACAAATTTTGTAACAGTAAAGAATTCTTCTCATCAATTATGCAATAATCAATATATCTCGTTAATACACATTACCATTGTAATTACACAGAATATATTTTTTTTTAAATATTCTTACTACTTGGTATCTTTCTTTCTTATTTAAGTTTTCTATCCGTTTAGCTGTTACAATCATCATATAGAAATTAATTGGATCTAAATTTATCTGTTTTTGGTTTTTCCAAAAAAGAGAATATGCCAAGAACTGTAAAGTTTTTAATTGAGTTCCAAAGTATTTAGTTATACAAATAATTTGTACCCCCTTTTTATGTTACTATGTGGGTACAAACAGTTAGCATTCACAATTATTTGGTTAAAATAAATTTAAAAAATGTTATTTTAATTGTAATATTATCACAGTTGAAGGAAAAAGGTTGCATAAACATTTGAACAATCTAGTGTTAGTCATATGTTATCTGATTGTTAATCATCAAATTGATCCAACTAAAGATAAACAGTTAACTGGTAATTGTCTCTGGCTGTGACATTGAGAAATCTGTGACAGAACTTTACATAGTGTTAGTAAGTAACAACAATCTAAAAAAAACGAAAACTGCAGTTTTCTATCGTTTGCCTTTACCTGCATAACATGATAGTTGAGGCCAGTCAATAATTGCTAATATAATACTTATACAAACTTGAATAATCGTTAATCAGGCATTCCTACAATCCCTTTATATAATAATTTCATGTACTAACCTCTGATTCATCGTAAGGATTTAAGACATTGTGTTTTTGCATTACTTACTTTCGCCTGTTACTCCCAATGGAGCATAGGCCGCCGACCAGCATTCTCCAAACCACTCTGTCCTAGGCCTTCTTTTCTAGTTCTATCCAGTTTTTGTTCATTCTTCTCATATCTGTCACTATTTCTCGGCGTAATGTGTTCTTTGGTCTTCCTTATCTGCATGGTTTTCTTTATTTCATACAAATGTGTTATATCCCCCGGTGAATTACGAATGTTAACTTTTAGGTCTATTTATCGACCAATGTATTATGCCAATTTCCTATTGTACAATTGTTACGTAACTAACTATTCATATTCGTTTTCTCTTATCATGAGCTTTATTTTGATCTTTGATTTATTATCATACGATTCTTGAGTTATACTCAGTTATTGATTACTTTGGTTTGTATAAAAACCCAGTATGTTTGTAAATAATGATTCATATTGCCGAGGCTGTTATTTGTGTTCTGGACTCAACTGGCTGGGCTAGGAAGATAGGAAGGACCGAATAGCACCCAAGACTGTTCGTACGATTTCAAGTATCATTTGCTTCCGATCCATAAATTCATTCCTCTCCAATTGCACGTCCATATATATTACGAGTTCATACCTCATAACAATTGACGACGTCATAAGAAAATGCACTTCGGATCCCTTTCATATTGGTTGAAGAACGCTTAATCAGTACATCACTTAATTCCAGCACTTAGTTTTATGTTAAACGCTTGAATGTTTGATAAAATAAACTTCAAACATGTACCCGTCTTCTGAAGCAGACAAGAGATATGATCATAAATAGTAATCTGACCTTGTTTAAATGTTAAATTTCACTTTGCCATCGTGATAAACTTCCTAAGTTTACTTTGGAAAATGATAAACCACTGCATTCTCTCCTCTGATTAGGCCTTCTGTAACCTTTGCAGTGAAAGGTCTTACACTTTTCAGAAACGCACCTGAATATGTTATACGATTAAAAGCCATAATGTTGTATTAAAACAAACGAAATTAGATAACTTGTTGAAATATCTAGATGACAGGAACAGGTAGCCCAGATGTTTAAACAGGCCGACAATATTAGCGATATCTTATTAAGAGAGAAAAGTCCATATAACTATATAAATAAACTGTATGTTGTTTTTTTATTATTCTATAAACTCAAAAACACAGAAGGAAAAAACAAACAAACAAAATTTTGTACATTTAAAAAAAAATTAATTAAGTAATATAATCAATATTGATTTGAAATTTAATATTTTTCTTTTTATCTGTTCAATAAATGATAATGAAACATGTCAACTATTTTGTTTTTATAAAATTCATCAATATTTTCAAATGATACACAACATGTAAACATTTTGAAAAATGTAAACTGATATTTCATTCAAATAAAAATGAGCAATTGTTTAAGCCTATTATTTTTTGATAATAATAATAACCTTGACAACAAATTTAAAATTTGCCTGATAAATAGATTATTCAATTTAAATAAGGAATGAATTATATTATTCATTTAAAAAAATACACACATACATATATATGATAAGGAAGTGAGAGAAGAAAAAAGCAAAGTTTGAAAAGAAAAAAACGGGTAACTAAAACCTTGAATTAAATCATTGTTTTAGAATTTTCAAAAGTCATTAATTGTGTAAGAATAAGCCATATAATTGAAGCAATAAAAAAGACAAATGATGATATCCAACTGACTAGTACAGGCCAAAGTGGATGAACACTGATAATATCTGGACTATATAACTGTGAAAAGAATATGAAAAATTATAAATAAACTATTCAATAATCATATATCTAACTAGAAATAATTATAATCAAAAAGAATCTAAGGACTATGAACAGATCAGGGTTGAAATGGTAGAATTTAAACTGGACATAAGACATTTTCGAACTTTGATACCGTTAATAAATTCATTATATTACTAAAAGATAAATTGTGTTACTGATTGAAGACTATGATGTACATTTTTTTCAACTTGAAATTATACAACTACTTTCCTCTTTCTTAAGTATGTTAATCAAGAATATTAGTCTATTGGTTAACCTACACTAATTGTTGTTAAACAATAATGATATGGATATCTATTACAATGAAACAATCAAATGTATAATATCATGAATTGATTCACTCATAACACAGTGAATATTCGATGGAGAGATTTTTCTTCCAGCTATTCAGGAATATTTCAAGCTGTATGCATGAAAATCCATAAATGGAATAAGTGAATAACTGACTTATATTTATAGCTTGTATGACGTACTAGAAAAAAGATATTTTCTAATAACAAGTGATATTGTATATATACTGAACTTGAATGTCAAAGAGTAAAGTAGAATACAGATATGACCGTTAGCTGAATAATTAAAAAGCGTTAAGAAGCATAATTTCAATTCAAAAATCAATTTTATTGTTATCCAGCGCTTAGAACTTCTAAGAAGATGCATAACTCAACAAAGTTGCATACTTTCATTTGGTTTATTAATATCAAAAATAAATGTGGTTGTTTTTATTTAAAATATCCCTTATCTATTGGTTATAACAAACACTTTCCTAAAACTTCAGATTACATTTACAGCATGATGTCTGCAAATGTAGTAGAATTGGTAAATAAACCTCTATTATTTTGCGCATAAAATTATGTATATATGTTCCGATGATGTTAAGAAATCTATAATGTACAACTTACTGTTCGAGGTATTTGTGATATTGGATAGCATGGACCCCATTCGTATTCAAGACGATTCAATTTTGTATGATGTATGCAATTTGCGAAAATAATGAAAACCCCTGGAATATTATATAAAATGATAGATGATGCAATATTGCATGACAGTATCTTTTTTAAAATCAATACATATTCGATCAAATGAATACTCTTGACATAAGGAACCTTGGTTTGACCTTTCGTATGGAATCTTATGAGCACTACTAATGCAGAGTCACAGATTACGAAGGGACAGTTATCCTGTTTTCTCTGGTTTTCATTTATTCCACACTTGTTTCTAGAATATGATGAAAACTGATATATCCTAGCGAAGATTAAACAACGGGTAACTTCTGGGAACTATTTATGGACTAATACTAAAGGTATATTCTTATTGTATAACTATTGAGTAATTAAATTGTGTATATCTGTATTCGTCTTATTATAAGCTTCATTTTGACCTACGGATTATTTTTATACGATTTACTGTTCTTAAATTACGTTCAGTTTATTAATTACTGCTTCTCACGTTCACAGTCAACTCCGCCTCCTCTAGGAGTTACTCACGGTCCCAAGCCCGGGTAAAGGAGGAAGGTTGGGCATGGGGTTAGCGACCCCATCCCGTAGAAAATCAACTCGCTAAAAAGACGCTAACCAGAAAAAATCATTCAAACCATTCAAACTCTGACCTGGGAGTAGAAGGAATAATTATGACGTCTCATGATGAAAGCCGAGTTCCTTCGGAAGTCATGAGGTCGATGCACCTTCTAACAACCAGAGCGACAATTTCTATAGGTACATGGAATGTCCGGACAATGTGGGAGACCGGAAGAGTCTTTCAAATTACTTCAGAAATGAGAAAATACAACCTGGAGGTGCTTGGAATCAGTGAAACGCATTGGACGCAGGTTGGACAACAACGACTGTCTTCAGGAGAACTTCTGTTATACTCCAGTCATGAAGAAGAAAATGCCCCACATACACAAGGAGTTGCATTGATGCTGTCCAGAAAAGCACAAAATGCACTTATAGGATGGGAATCTCATGGACCAAGGATCATCAAAGCCTCCTTCAAAACAAAGAGAGAGGGCATTTCATGAACGTCATCCAATGCTATGCGCCTACCAACGACTACGATGAAGAAGCTAAAGACCAATTCTACGACTGGTTGCTGTCGATCTTCGAAAAGTCCCAACCAAAGACCTGACCATTCTGATGGTAATTTCAATGCCAAGGTTGGAATGGACAACACTGGATACGAAGACGTCATAGGACATCATGGACTGGGAGAAAGGAACGAAAACGGTGAGAGATTTGCAAACTTATGTGCCTTCAATAAACTGGTCATAGGTGGCACCATATTCCCACACAAAAACATACACAAAGCCACTTGGATTTCACCGGATCACACTACACAGAATCAAATCGACCATATCTGCATCAACAAAAAGTTCAGGAGGACGATGGAGGATGTGAGAACCAGAAGAGGAGCTGATATAGCATCCGATCATCATTTGCTTGTCGCCAAGATGAAACTAAAACTCAAGAAGCACTGGACAACGGCGCGGACAACATCACAAAAGTTTAATACAGCCTTTTTTCGAGATGCTGACAAACTCGGCAAATTCAACATAGCCCTCAGCAACAGGTTCCAGGCCTTTCATCATCTACTCAATGGAGAGGGAACTACAATGGAGAGCAACTGGAAAGGTATCAAGGAGGCAACGGTTTCAGCATGTCAGGAGGTTCTGGGTCAAAAGAAGCACCATCTCAAGGAATGGATCACTGTTGGTACACTGGATAAAATTGAAGAAAGGAGGAACAAGAAGGCAGCAATCAATACCAGCCGAACAAGAGCAGAAAAAGCCAAGGCACAAGCGAATACACAGAGGCAAGCAAGCAAGTGAAGAGGAGCATCAGAACCGACAAACGTAAATATGTGAAAGATCTAGCGATGATAGTGGAAAAGGTTGCAAGAGAGGGAAACATGAGACAACTGTATGGTACAACAAAGAAACTTGCTGGAAATTACCGTAAGCCAGAAAGACCAGTGAAAAGCAAGGAAGGCAAAGTAATCACTGACATTGAAGAACAACGAAACAGGTGGGTAGAACACTTCAAGGAACTCTTGAATCGACCAGCTCCACTTAACCCACCCAACATCGAAGCAGCACCCACAGACCTCTCAATCGATGTTGGCCCTCCAACAATTAAACAGATCAGCATGGCCATTAGACAAATCAAGAGCGGCAAAGCAGCGGGACCAGACAACATCCCGGCAGAGGCACTGAAGGCAAACGTAGCAGCAACTGCCAAGATACTCCACATCCTCTTCAGTAAGATTTGGGACGAAGAACAAGTACCAACAGACTGGAAAAAAGGACTTCTGATCAAGATACCAAAGAAAGGCGATCTCAGCAAGTGCGACAACTACAAAGGCATCACTCTTCTCTCAATACCAGGAAAAATCTTCAACAGAGTATTGTTAAACAGGATGAAGGATTCAGTGGACCCCCAACTTCAAGATCAACAAGCTGGATTTCGTAAGGATAGATCGTGCACAGATCAAATCGCAACTCTACGTATCACTGTGGAACAATCAATCGAATGGAATTCATCACTCTACATCAACTTCATCGACTACGAGAAGGCATTTGATAGTGTGGACAGGACAACACTATGGAGGCTTCTTCGACACTACGGCGTGCCTGAGAAGATACTTAATGTCATACGGAACTCCTATGATGGACTAAACTGCCAAATCGTCCAAGGAGGACAACTCACCGACTCGTTTGAAGTAAAGACCGGTGTTAGACAAGGTTGCTTACTTTCACCCTTTCTCCTGGTGATCGACTGGATCATGAAGACGTCAACATCTGGAAGAATGCAAAGGATATAGTGGACAGGCAGGATGCAGCTTGAAGATTTAGACTTTTCGGATGATCTGGCTCTTTTATCACAAACGCAACAACAAATGCAGGAGAAAACGACCAGTGTAGCAGCAGCCTCAGCAGCAGTAGGTCTCAATATAAACAAAGGGAAAAGCAAGACTCTCCGATACAATACAATATGCACCAATCAAATTGCACTTGATGGAGAATCTTTGGAGGATGTGGAAACATTTACATATCTGGGAAGCATCATTGATGAACACGGTGGATCAGATGCAGATGTGAGGGCGTGGATCGGCAAAGCAAGAGCAGCATACTTACAACTGAAGAACATCTGGAGCTCAAAACAATTGTCAACCAACACCGAGGTTAGGATTTTCAATACAAATGTGAAGACAGTACTTCTGTATGGGGCGGAGACGTGGAGAACTACGAAAGCCATTATCCAGAAGATACAAGTGTTTATTAGCAGCTGTCTACGCAAGATACTTCGGATCCGTTGGCCAGACACTATCAGCAACAAGTTACTGTGGTAGACAACAAACCAGATTCCATCCAGCAGAGGAAGAAATCAGGAGGAAGCGCTGGAAGTGGATTGGGTACATTTTGAGGAAATCACCCAATTGTGTCACATGACAAGCCCTCACATGGAATCCTGAAGGTCAACGGAGAAGAGGAAGACCAAAGAACACATTATACCGAGAGATGTAGATGGACATGAGAAGAATGAACAAGAACTGGATAGAACTAGAAAAGAAGGCCCAGGACAGAATGGGTTGGAGAATACTGGTCAGCTTCCTATGCTCCATTGGGAGTAACAGGCGTAAGTAAGTAAGTAAGTAACGTTCACAGTCAATTTTTTGGTTTGATATTGTCTAAATGTTATCTCCTATTTTATGGTGTGATGAGGTCTGGTATATAAACCAAGTATGCTTGAAATTCATGATTCGCATAATGGGAGCTGTTATTGGTGTTCTGGACTCAACTGGAAGGGCTAGGTGGACAAAGGACCAATAAGGGCGCTAGGCTGCCCATACCGGTCGAACGTCATTGGTCTGGCACAGCACTAAGATTGAATAAGTCGTATTTCGATTGGCGAATAAATCATGTGAAAAACAACGGTCTTAAAGTCCCAACAGAAACTAGATTTTAAGTGAATGGACCTCCACAAACCACTTTGGAATGCATAAATATTGACTACATTTTTGGTTACACTCATTAGCAAGTTTGATGCCGTCTTCCATTACAGACGAAAATGAATAATCATTGTAGAAGAATAATCTTCAAGTTTTGATTTCATTGGTCATCTAGTGATTCATAAAGACACAGCATATTAACTTAAAATGTTTCAGATGAATTTGATCTGTGTTAATGTCTTCAACTATGTTTTTCTTTAGATTAATAGTTTTTCTTTCCTAGTAGCCTTTCAATAATTTGATTTCTAAAAGTAACGATCATTTCATCGCATCTAATAACTTCCAAGTCCAAGTGTCTTGATCAAAGACCATTCCACTGTCATACGTTCGTTGAAACTGCCTTATCTATTCTGTGTTCTCAAATTAAGACTTCTTTCCATTCTGTTTTGTACACCATTGCTGTTAGTGATATGCGTTTTACTGTCCTTATTATGAGTGTCATTTATTTCTTATTATTGAAATAATTATATCACCTTACATTCAAGAAATAAGTTAAGTACAAAAGACCAAGATGACATAAAATTCTGGAGTGCTATTGATTAAGTGGAATATCCGTGGAGAAATAGTGGTATGAAACTGTAGGCTAAAAATAATGATTAAAAAAATTAAATCCCACGATTACCAAATTAAGTTCTTTTGTACAAATATGTTATTGCTCCACTCTTTACAAACGAAGCGAATGACTTGGAATGAGTAGAGTGACGTACAAAAAGTGGGTTACAGTAGGAAAGAGAAAAACAATATGTGGGTTGACTTCATTAGTCAAGATTAGTTTGTTTAGACTGTAGTAGAGTAACGTGTAACCTGGTCAAGGTATACTTACTATACCTCAATAAAGTAATTTAATCAGGAATTTTGTACCTAACTCCTTGAGAAATAGCTCATCTTAAAACGATCATTCAGATAAAATTTCTATTTCTTGTACTACAAATCTGTTCTACTCTGTGTAGGGATCATATTTTATGCACCCTTAAACATTTTATTGGATTTTTTCATGTTCACGTGTTTGGATTTTCTTTGTCTGTTCTCGGATCGATTGAGAATTTTCTGAATACTTCTATGGAGCTTCGTTCCTTAAATGGTGATCCCGTAGTTCTTCTGTTGCTCAGACGAGAAATCCTTAGACGAGAATATCTTATTTTCTTTTTTGTCAACAACCAGAGTTTCAATCCCTGTATAGAGGTGTCGACTAGATTTTGAATTTTATGCAAACAACAGAAAGTTGTTATTCAGATTAATGTAAAAGGTTTTGTATATATATGATTACCTATTATTCGTTTCTTTTTGTGTACAAACATATACTACAAAGTCTACCTTCTTCTGAGTTTATACGAGTACAATTATTGTATTAATTTAATTAGTGGTACTTTTGTAAACTACTTTTCTCGGCTTATTTGAAATCATACACTGTTACTTATTGTCTTTGTTAAGACTCTTAAAGAATACAACGAACTGTCATAATTGGAAAAGGCTCTATGTATGATCGGTATTCATCAAGTTATAATTTGTTACAAAACACCTAACTGAAACTCTAACTAACTCGGAGATCTAAGCTTCCATTTTTAACGCTAGCAACCAATATATCCTACAGTAGATCATTTTTTCAATTCTTTTAAAGAACATTAACTGCAATTCAGAGATTCCGAATCACTATCTACTAAACTCCATATCAATATATAGATATATATATTGAAATTAGTTTTGCTAAGTCATAACATAAAAATGTCGTAAGATAATCACGATGAAGAAATAGAAGAAACAGAATACAAATAATTACGAGGAAGTCGAGAAGATTTATGATAATTAAGTAGCCCAGAATTTGACGTGTTTACAAAACAACTTACCAGATGTAATATACAATACACCGGTTACCATAGCGGCAGGCACAGCACGAAACAAAGTTGAAAACGCCCCGATCAATACAGATGCTGCAACCGATAAATACACTACCACAACGCATGAAATAATATTATTCTGCATTTCTGGAAGATTTTAATGAACAAATATGGAAATTTAAAAGTAGTTTACGACTAATATCGTAAAATTTTCATTGATAAAGTAAAGGAATTGTGAACATTGTTCGTTTTGTAAAAGACCCTATCTAAAACATGTTATTAAAAATGGTAACTGTCTAGAGTTCTAAAAAACATGAGTCAGTTTACATTTTTCAGTTGATATCATTTCAACACCTTCAGATCAGTGGTTCGGTAAGAAATGTAATTTCCTTTTCTATCGATATTGATGAAGCATATGCTGTTAAAACATTTTCAGTTAAGGGTTGTGGAGATTGTTGAATTTTAATTAAGGAGTTCCATACTAGGACGATGCTGTCGTCCAGTGCTTCCAGGTTTTCATTAGTGGCCTAACATTGATCGGTTCATGATCTCAATCATTACATTGTTGTTTTATTGTCAAATGAACGTTTCCCTTACCTTTGCAATACTCTTTTTAGTTAAAGTGGTATAAGCGAACAAAATAGTCGACAGAGATGTGAAGACAAATCACGACAACAAGACCTACAAGGACAGCTGAACACGAACAACACTATCAAAACGAACTGATCAAATGATCTTGGAACAACCAAAAAACACCACTTCTACATAAAGTAGGTGCCTAACGTATTGTCAAGAATACAGATAAATCTTCCTCAATTAAATCGTCTAGCTCAATGAACCTAACACCAGCGAAATCATCTTTATTTAGTGCAGATCTTTTCGACTACATAGAGTATCAAAAGTTAATATAGGAAGAAATCGGACATAGTTGTGAGAAGGAGTGACTTGTAATTGAAGAAAATATGGGCGCTGAAAGATTCTAAACACCCACAGGTTAATAATCGAAAAGTGGCACTTCCAAATACTATTTTCTACAGACATTCACCGGAGATATATGACTTAATAGAAATGGGAAATTCAAACTGAAATTGTGTAACAACGGGATTAGTTATGACCTAGGAGATAGTTGAAAGTGTAGTTGATAACAGTGAGTGTATCAAGAAGGACGGTGTATAATAGACGACACTCCAAGTGGAAACCCCACAAATTCTAAGCTTGTTGAGTTATTGTTTTGAGTACACTTCCATTACCTTCTGAGATTCAAGTTGGAATTCATGCTAAATTTACCCAATTAAATTCCTAAAGTTCTATACATTAGCACCCTGTAGTGTTGATAAATTCGAACTCATTTAACAAAACTTTGCTACATCAAATTATTGGGCAGCTTCTTCAATTTGTTTTAAAGGAGTTCCCTTTTTGAAAAACATTTAAATTAACCAAGTAATTCAGTAATGAAAGTGTATTTTTCCTATGTAACTGTTATTGACAAATTTACTAGTTATATACATTAATTACATTCGATACTTGAAAATACATTTGACTATAATAATTTTCTATTACCATAACCCTGTTCCATTTAGATAGATGATAGACTACTACAAGTAAAAAATAACCAGTAATTACATGACTGTACAGTTGAAGAAAATTATACCGCTTAAACAAAAGGTTCTTTTCCACTGAACTGTTTCCATTTTTTTCTTATAGGAAACATCTTCATTTCACATTTGTATTGTATGGGTTGATAAAACATATGTATCTCTGCTTACTATGCTTGTGAATTAAGGCAATATCGAGGCAGCAATACGCACACTATGCACATATGCCAATTAGAGACTGACCAGTTGCAGTCCTAAAAACATCAATGGCAAGGTCCAAACAAACAATACTAAATGAATTTATGCATTAGTTTGTTGTTGTTGTTGTTTTTTCGAAAGATATTATTCTTGTGACATTCACAATAATTGACGTAACAATTTTAGTATAATTACTTTAATTACCTTTTCAACTGATAAATGTTTTATTTGTATTGTCATAATTTCCAGAACATTTACGGTACATTCAAGTTATTTTTACGTTTACATAATGGATTTTTTTAGACGAATCCTTTGATATGGCAAGTATCCTGTTATGTCGACCTGATTTATATGTAGAGCGATGATGAAATTTGTAAGAAGTCCGTTAGTTACGTGTACCATAAATATTAACGTAATTGTACTTTTGTAAGACTTGAACACAACTCCTGTCTTTGTAAACGTTAAAGCGGTTTCTAACCAAACTATGTAGTTACGGGTGTCATCATTTGTTGCAAATATTTCACGATTACGAATTTCACTTGCCTATTATTTACTAAACTAAAGTATATCGACTGGATATTGATGTGATTTTTTTCTCACTGAAAATTAGTGGACTTTTCAATAACTCATTTAACACTAAAAGTCAAAAGTAATAGGCAAAGGTTTCTGGTGTTGTCATATGGTGTTAGCTTGATGGTTCGACGGTAAATCTTTTATTGGCTTCCTATGTAACATACTTAGTTTAGGCTTTAAGAAAAGCTTGACTTCTGGGAACCCCATACCAATAAAAGCGTTCTCCTGATCTCCAATATCCACCGTCTCCATTGATCACAGTTTTGACAAAAGTATAAGTAAGTTTTAGGTAGTTAGTACATTTTTAATTACTTGACTTCCATCCCATGAAGTGAAAACTAAAAATATTGTTTATAATCGGTCAAAAGATAAATTAAATTGTCACCGTAAACAAACGGAATTTTGACATAAAAGTGCACTACTGGTAAACCATAGACTACGACAAAACAGCTGAGCGATGTTTCATAGTTAACAGTGGTTTTTTTTGAGGCGTATCAATCTGGGAATTAAGTCACTTAGGAAAAAATATTTAAGAGTTATTTTTATGTGTATTCATATACGATTGTTTCTAGCCTAGTATGTAAATGGCTTATTGTTGAGACCTCTGTACATTAAAGTCTTCGTTCACAATCTGAGGTATGTGGAATTTTGATTGCATGGTCTATCTCATTCTACCTTTGTTTGAAGCCTTCTTTATTACCGACTGATCAACAAACCATGGTATCATTATAAATTATAAGATCAAAGCTTTCAATTTTTGTCTGAACGTTTAATTTACTGTTTATTAATTACTAATATTGTTCTTCGTGATTTTAAGATAAAAACAATGGGACTCTCGTAAGCTTCTGTCACAATAAACAATACCATAGATACAATTACAATAAATCCTACTAGCCCAATATATTGTAGATGTTTTGTGAAAATAACAGCAGAAATAGTTATGTTAGGTCATAATATTGTATGGTAATATATATATATATATAAATCCTACATTCAAATACGTAGTTTAGTTATACACTAACTCAATTGACTTACTTAAAAGGAATTGAATGCATAGATTCTTTGTTTCAGATAGGTTTGCATGTAGATAAGACATACAGTCAAGTGGTATGTTTAAATCTGGATGGATATTTGAACTGTAGGCCAGCAGTTTAGGTTTATAAGCATCTGAATAAGCAAAACATGGACACAAAAGATTACAGAATATAAGAAAATTTGAAAATTTGACAGAGGTATGTTACTGCATCAAAAAGATGACTGAAAAGGTCATTTGTTAAGGTTATTTCATTGAATGTTGACTTCATTCTAGAACTGAAACTAATTGTCGAACAACTAATCTATAAAGACATGTAGCATTACCGTCACTTTATTTTTAGTCCCGGACTCTCCAGTGGCATTGAACACAAATAACAGTCAGTATTCATTACACTATATCATAAACTGATATAGGTTGAACTGTAGGTCAGTCAATTTTCCTTCAGATGATGTTGGTCCATCAGAAAGAAACCTCTGTATAATTAGATGAACTGACTTTGTAGATATCATTACCAAGGTTTGACTTGATAATTTCGAATAAATTAAGCATTGGGTAGATTCTTATAGATAAATTATATATTTGTAATATCCCAATGAGTAGAAAAGTTAGATTTTCTGACATTTTGTGACTCAGTGCAAGCCACTTCTTCAGTCAATAAACATACAAATCAAAATTAATCCAAGTTTAATTAGTAAAACGGAACAAAAACAGTATTATTTAAACTTGGATTAATTTCGATTTGTTTATTTATCTACAAAATAATCCTACTTAGGTATTTGTTACTAATTCTAAAGTGTAAACCAGAATGTGTAGTGTGGTTATGAAACTAAAAGAGTGGGATTCAGTTAAATTTTATGTGGTGTTGATGATTGTAAAATTGAGTCACATGCTCTTACTCACCTTCATCAAAATATTCTATCAATGATGTAGGAAGTCAAATACAGATTGTTCAATAAATGGTTTATAAAGTCAAACACTCCAAGTCATAACATGAGGTCTTATTGTTAGATGGTCAAATCATAAGGATGAATTTCGTTATTAGACATGGTGGTTTACTTTTTTATTTAATTCTAGGACATGACTTAAGTTTCGACTTTATTTAATCTATAGCGTAATGTTTGGGATTAAGTACATACGTAATACGAACACTACTGACTGGTTTTTTTTAAATTTCTAATCTACTTTGAACATAAAATCTGATAACTTTTCTATTTATCATTAATCAGACAGCATCGACATCTGTTATTATTACCGGTGTTCTCCAACCACTCCCATGTACCATTGCTGGAAGTCATTCAGAGAAACGTTTTACCGTTACATCATCAAACCATATATTTATTCTGGTTACGTTAATCATGAATAATACAGTCGCTAGGTACACAATTCAATTTATGTAAGATATTACACTCCATTGCGCAGAATCAAGAAAAGTTGCAAACTATTTGAAATCAAAATAATAGTAATGCTCAACTATTAAGTTATAATAATATCCACAAAAAACCTTTTCATAGAACAGTAATATTGACGATAGTAAAAAATAGTTTGAAAAGAATAAATGAAATCGAGTAATATGACGTATAAGTTTATATTGAAGAAAGTTGAAGGAAGATAAAAGTTAATACACGCTCAAAATCAAATCAAATTTAAAATACAGAAGATGTCTTCCAAACATCAATTGAAAAGTTTACACATATTGCAAGTTAAAATGTTCTCACACTCTGAAAAACATATTACTAAAATTTTGTGAATTTATGAACTACCGATTTATATTGGCCTTCTGCAGTTCCATATGGTTCCCTTTTACATCTTATGTAAAGAGCATTAAATCCAACTGTAGCTCTTCTGGGGTTACGGCCTGTAACAAGCAGGAGTGAAGAATAAGCGTTGGTCATCAGGTCAGCAACCACATCCCATTGAAAACAACCTTGTCAAAAAAACGCTAACCACAAAAATTCATTTAAATCACTTAAACTTTGAGCTGGGAGCTGAAGGATCTTCATTTAGAAGAATTATGACGCCTCATGATGAAAGTCAAGATTCTTTAGAAACCACGAGGCCGATAACCCTTCTGAAGGTGACAGCAACAATTTACATAGGTACATGGAGTGTTCAGAAAATGTTAGAGATTAGAATGATCGGTCAAATAGCTATTGAAGTGGAAAGATACAACTTGATGGTGCTCCCAATAAGTGAAACTCATCCTTTTAAAAGAATAAGGAATGGTTCACAATGAATTTTATCTGTTTCTGTCCGTCACCACCGACAGCAGCGAAGGCGACAGAGATCAGTTTTATGAGATGCTGCAGTCGATCATAGAGAATTGTCCAGAAAAGCACTTGAACACACTGATGGGAGACTTAAACGCCAAAGTCGGAATGTACAACACCGCGTATGAACATATCATAAGATGACATAGACATACTGGGAGAAAGGAATGGGAATGATCATAGATTCACAAATTTATGTGCATTCAACAAAACAGTTATAGATGGTACAATATTACACCACAAACGTGTGCACAAAGCTACATGATTCTGTGATGTTTGAATGAACCAATGATTTCTTTGTATTGATGACTGTTGTGATTTTGAATTTCAAATACATTCGTTTGTGCTCATCTAATACTTCTTGATTAAATTGCGTTATTCCTGGGATTACTAGTTTATGCTACAATTCAAATACTTCTGACTATCATAGGTTCACAACGAATTACATTACATAGAACCAGACCAAACAGATCCGTATCACTAAAAATCCAGAAAATCAACGGAAGATGTGAGATTAAAGAGGACAGCTGACATATCTTCAGATCTCTACGTGGTACTGTTTACAATGAAGCAGTAGTAATAGTAATAGTAAAAGTAGAAGTAGTAGTGATAGTTGCAGTAGTAGTAGTGATAATAGTCTTAGTAGTTCTTCAATTTTCAATATTCATTGTGATCCACCCCTTCTTCGTTTAGAAGAATGCTTTGATGACCCTGGATCCACGAGATGCCCATCCTAAGACTGCTTCTCGTGCTAGTTTGTTCAGCTTCAATGCAACTGATTGTATATGTGGAGCATTTTCCGCTTCATGACCAGAGTATCTGCATCACTAAAAATTCAGAATGTCAGCGGAAGACATGAAGTTAAAAGGGCAGCTGACATAGCTTCAGACCACCACCTGGTTATGACCAAGATGAAACCAAAGCTAAAGAAACACTGAACAATGGGAGAAATAGAATGTGAGAGGTCAATTACAGTCTTCGCTCGAGATACTGACAAACTCAACGAATCCAAGATAACTCTCAAAAACAGGTTCCAAGTAACATGGTGGTTGGAGGTGGTCAACAGGAAACCCTGGACCCGGGTTTCGTGCTACTTGGCACTCGTCAGCAAGGTGTACCTGTAATCTTGAGGGAACTGATGCTCCCTGGCGGATTCGATCCCGCGTCACTCAGCTTCACAGTCAGAGACGTTACCACTGAGCTATTCGGGCCGCGACCGACCTCCTGTAGGACTGAGATCTAATCACAATTGATTGATCACTGGGTGGTGATCAATCTCATGCGTGTCAGGTCCTTAGTGCTGATCGAATGCTATCGATCAAGTTGCAATGTGGCCACCAGTCTAGGTGGCTCGACACTGCGGGCACTATATATATTAGGGTAACATGGTGGTTGGAGGTGGTCAACAGGAAACCCTGGACCCGGGTTTCGTGCTACTTGGCACTCGTCAGCAAGGTGTACCTGTAATCTTGAGGGAACTGATGCCACCTAGACTGGTGGCCACATTGCAACTTGATCGATAGCATTCGATCAGCACTAAGGACCTGACACGCATGAGATTGATCACCACCCAGTGATCAATCAATTGTGAACAGGTTCCAAGTCTTATGAGATCAACTCAAAGAAAAGGGAACTACTATGGAGGACAACTGGAAAGGGGTCAAAAAAGCATTCACTTCAACGTGTCAGGAGGTTCTGGGTAGCAAGAAGCATCATCATATGAAATGCATCTCTAAGGAAACGCTGGACAGAATTCAAAAGAAGGAAGACAGCAATCAACAAGTCGAACAAGAATAAAGATAGTCAAGGCACAGACCGAATACACCGAAGCAAACAAGAGAGTAAAGTGGATCATTAGAGCCGACAAGTAGAAGTACATGTAGGATCTGACAATGACAGCAGAATGAGCTGTATGAGAAGAAAATATGATACACCTATATAATGATATAATGAAGACACTAGTAAGCAAAAATATTGTGAACCAGAGCTATCAGTCAAGGATAAAGAGAACACGCCATTCACTGAGACTGAAGAACAATGGAATAGACCAAATCATAACACTATGGATAATTGTTGAACAATCAGTTGAACGGGACTCGTCACTATACATTGACTTCGTTGATTATGTCAAAGTATTTGGAAGTTTCGATAGGAGAATCTTATGGAGCCCTCTCTGACACTATGAGGTGCTTGAGGAGATCGTCAACATTATTCGGAATTCATTCGACGAACTACAACTTTAAGTTGTTATATATCGAAGAGAATTATGAATGGTAACTTCCGAGGTCCAATTTACCTGTTTTCTGAGTTAAAGCCAAGCAAAACCTATTTAACACTTAAAACCAAGGTCGAAATTGGAGATTGCATGAAAATCAACTACCATAATCTCACATATTTATTATATTGATATTTGCGATTTATGTATCAGCACACAATAGATTCTGCGGACTCAAAGGCTTGAACACTGTCTAAAATGTTAAATGATTTGTGCACTGTTTGTGACTTTCTACATTCAGAAGCTAATTGACGTGGGAAAAGCCAATTGATTGCTCAGTGCAAAATTGCACAGTGCTGTTCTAAAGTATGAAAACTATACATCAAATACATAATTTTCACATATTCCACCAGTTGTCCTTTACATGATTCATGATTCATTCAACTCCATCGTGAATACAATTACCTTCTGCTTCTCCTCCTCTTTTCTTTAACTGAATCTTCCCAATCTTCTTCATGCATGCATTCTACTTCCTACTGGACCTACATACTACTTAAACCTTTCAACATATGTAGTATACACCACACCACAACCATCATCAAAAAAGTGCAAGTATTTCTAAACACATGTCTACGAAAGATTATCAGTGTTCGTTGTGCGGATACCATCCGTAACAACTTACTGTGTGAGAGAACAAACCAGTTTCCAGCTGAAGAGGAAATTAGGTGAAGACGTTGGAGGCGAATAGAACATACATTGACAAAATGAACAAACTGCATCATGACGCAATCCCTGACTTGGAATCCTAAAGAGTTAAGGGGAAAGCGTAAGACCAAGAAACTTATTAAGTCAGGAATTGAAAGCAGACTTTAAGAGAATGTATAGCAGTTGAAAAAAAGTGTCAAGGATTTTCCAGGACAGATTTTAATGGGGAATGTTCGTGGTCCGCCTTTGCCCCTTTGCGAGGGGTAACAGATGTAGGTTGGTAAGTAAGTTATACATAGCCTAATCTTAGTACTTCTCACTTAACCGTTTCATCAGAGACGAATAAGTCTGGGTTATATCTGTGATTGATAACTCATGTTCATGTTTTTCAACGTCCAAATCCATATCCCGCATGATTTAAGTAACACTGACCAAGTGATGATGTAGTATACTCATCCTTTAGTGGCCTTTATTGATTTCTGTAATAAGTTTCGTAATAAAATATTGATCAAGAATCAGATACTGTGTATAGGACACAAAAAGTAATACTATTTTTATTTACCTGCTAATCGAAAACACATTGTCCAGATACCAGCTTGCAAATTCATAATTAACCATAAATTTCTGTTCATTTCATCATCTTGTGTATCATCTAATAAATCCCCATGCTCTACTAACTGTATCCATTCATGACGTGTAAATGTATATTTATTACGTGTAAATAATCTTGGTGTTATTGTTTCACGTGATAAATGCTTTGGTGTATTTTCGGTAGATGTAATATGTTTATCGGAATGTACAACAATACCGATGATTTCATTCATTTTATATGTAACTGTCAAACAATTTTTATATAAATGCTTCAGTATTCTCCAATTTAATATTTTACCATCACGAAATATGATAAATTCTAAGGTATAGTTATTAATATGATCATTATTATTATTATTAATATTACTACTGATCCATTTCTTTGGATCTTCTAAGATTAAAAATTCTGTTTGATTAACTAATGACGTATTGTACATGTTACCGTTTTCATGTCCACTAAATGTTGAGCAATTTTGTTTGATTGAAAATAGTTCCAATAATTTAATAAATTTAAAATGAACATTCTCCCAATAAGGTGTTAATGTTGCTCCAATAAACAATAATGCACCAATAAATGGTATAATTATGGCTAAAAATAATGTTTTACGATAGACTGGATTCAATGGAATTGGTGTTCTGACCAATCGCCATCGATGAAATTTCTTTTTTTGTATATACTGTCTTGTATAAAGATTCACTACAGTTGAATTATTATGAATAGGATTATTTGGATTAGTATAAGTACTTGTGACAGCAGTATTATACAATGCAAGTGCTGAGATTGAACTTGATCGACGTGAATTTGGTGAAGCCGGTTGAGTTAATGAAGTGATATTAATCATCATTGAAATCTGTCGATCATAACTCCATGAAACGATATGATGTTATCTTATAACACTAGTGTTGATTATGAATATCAGTTGTAGGAAAAAAGAAGTATTTCTCAATAAGATTTTTATAGTGAACTATTCTCTAAATTTTTTCTCAAATTTTAAAAATTTATTCGCCGAAATTACTCCTTATGAATGAACAACAACATTTCAACAAAGTGAAATAGTTTATCATCAACTTACGATCAGTAATTATCATAATAAACAAATAGGAAACATACTGATCTGTACGTAGTATCTATACACACACACACACATTGATACATCTATACATAACCTGAATGTGATCACCTCGTATTCTAGAATTTTTTTTATTCTAAAGATATGAATTAAAGATCGTGTGGTAGACATATATGCATTGAGTTTTATCGATTGTTCTTAAATTAGACCAGATCCTCTAATGATATAATAAAACACGGTCAACTTCGTTATCTATCTATTCATCTATCAACTTTTAAATTTGTTGAACGAAGAAAAATGACTGAAACACACATAAACATAGGAAGGGAGTAAAGTGTCTAAAATTAAGGGAAAATGGCAAACAACAGTCAGAAAGAAAAATGCTCTAGGATGAACCTGAAAATGAGTTTGATAATAAACAGTAAGAGGAAAACTGAAAGAAAGAAAGAATGAATAAATGAAACAATTGGAAAAGGGTAACTAACAAATAAACAAAATAAATGGATATAATTGGTAAGTGAAGTTTGGTGTGTCTGTGTAACTAGCGTGATGAATATAGATACAAACGAGCGCACATCCATTTATCGCTTTTAATGGATGTCTGTCAAAACAATCTTATAGCTATAAAATGGAGATAACTAACCTCAGGTGTTTTAGTGAGTCCGAAAAAGTCTTGATCACAATCCTCAACGAGAAATCATCAGAAATGCGTTAGAACTGATTACAACAATTTGCCCTAAACATATTCAGGAAGAATAATAACTGAACACACCATAACGAGATTGAATCATAAAGAGTAGTCAATCGATAATTGAGTACTATCAATAAAGAACTAGGTCAATACAGCCATTTGAAGGCTTTACATTACTATTTGATTGAGGTTAGATATTTAAACCTCCGGAAATCGATCCAATAGTTGTATTCCCTGCATAAACTCTGTATGAGGTCATGAGTGTCCACTGACATTAAAGGTTCCTTAACCAGAGCTAAGCAGGTGCCTAGTACTTCTCACATTTTAGTGGTCCTTGAGCTAATGTTGATCTTTGGTAAAACTATTCTTACACAAATGATCACTTGTAGTCTTTGAAATGCAAAGTGACATAATTCGCTTCTCAGGAATATGCAGGAGAATTGTTGTTATGGGACAATTCATCTAGAAACAAAATACGTTAATAGAAGTCATAAACATGTTACTTTGTCAACTAACTGTCATTCAAAATTGACCAAGTATAATTCACATGGTGTTTAAATAAAAAAACTTCATTTTTCAAGGACAACAAAAGTTATGAGAATATATGATAAGTGAATAAATAAATGAACATGTCAGAAGATAAAATAAGCATCATTTTTAATTCTATATCACCTTTCAATTAGTTAACAGTATTATTAATTTAATAAAATGATTTTAATGAGTGAAAGAATTCTTATCATTTGATATTGATCTCTACGATTGGCTAAATTACCATGGAAAAATAGAAAGGAGATAGATTAACTTTTTAAGACTTTAACTTTCAAATTAAAAACTGTAAATTCAAGTTATGTTCCAATTGTTTCGACTAAGACAACTGACAAACATTCACAACTTTAGGATAAAAAGTTTAACCGATATTCAACTACATAAACATGTACCTAGTAGATGGATTGAGCAACAAATAATCAAAAGTAAAATGTAGAAAATCGCTGGTGACTACTTAGTGGTTCATATGGGATTATTTTTATGCAGTAATATGGAATAACTATAATTCTTGTGAAATTGGATATGATTTGAGACTGTGTTGTTTCCAAGTTCAATTTTATATCCCACTTAGAATACCATCCATGGAATCAGTCATATGACAGATGCTACAAAACCATAGAATGAAGATCCAGTTTCAAAATATTTTTTATCTTTACAGATAGTGATTTGTTCTATTAAAAAAGAAATATGATAGTCCTGTGGAAATCTTGACTAAAGTAATGAGTTACAACATTTGTAATCATAGAAACTTGATTATACCATATTGTAATACGTATACCATCTAATACATGTGTGTAAACTCATATACTCAGTTGACAGTTATGAAACACGGTTTTAAACTTATTTGGAATCGAAATTTCAGGATATCCATTTATCTAACTTCTGAAAAGTTTCTGTTTAACAGTTTACTGATGACTGACTAGTGTTTATCTAGTTCATCAGTATAAATCACATTTCAAAGTTGTCACTAAATTTAGTGGTTTAGCATCGTTGGCATTAGTTTTAGGAATGAGATAGTCAGAAATAGTCAGTAAAAATTTGTCATTCATTCAGGTCGCGACTCAAAAAGCTTGGTAGTAGGACGTCAAATTTTGAGACTAGAGCATGTAGTTTAGAATCTTCAAGAGTGTTGACTCCCTCAAGATTGCAGACACACAGTTCTGATGAATACAGCAAGCGCGAAACCTAGTTCTAGAGTGCTCCGCTAATTATTCTCAGCGACCTAACACTGTTTAAAATTATAATGTGCTCTCAATAGTGATGTTGAAATTTGTTTCTAAGGTAATGTGTACACTGTCTCCTAGGTCATAACTAATCCCGTTGTTACACAATTTCAGTTTGAATTTCTCATTTCTATTAAGTCATATATCTCCGGTGAATGTCTGTAGAAAATAGTATTTGGAAGTACCACTTTTCGATTATTAACCTGTGGGTGTTTAGACTCTTTCAGCGCCCATATTTTCTTCAATTACAAGTCACTCCTTCTCACAACTATGTCCGATTTCTTTCTATATTAACTTTTGATACTCTATGTAGTCGAAAAGATCTGCACTAAATAAAGATGATTTCGCTGGTGTTAGGTTCATTGAGCTAGACGATTTAATTGAGGAAGATTTATCTGTATTCTTGACAATACGTTAGGCACCTACTTTATGTAGAAGTGGTGTTTTTTGGTTGTTCCAAGATCATTTGATCAGTTCGTTTTGATAGTGTTGTTCGTGTTCAGCTGTCCTTGTAGGTCTTGTTGTCGTGATTTGTCTTCACATCTCTGTCGACTATCTTGTTCGCTTGACCAATAACGATGTGAATAATTGACTTACTTCATTTGATCTGATAAATTGGATAGACGTGTGTATGTCTGCTGACCACCGTCTGATCAGAATGTCATGCTTCTAGAAATATGTTCAGTTCAGAATTCTATACTTCCCCAATCGAATTCGCTTCTGTGTTTCTCCCACCCACTGATACCATAAACATATCATGTAATTTTACTGACATTCTGGGTTCGTGTGTGTGTGTGTGTAAAGTGGGATTCCACTTTGTGCAGTGTAATATTTTTTCAATATGTGAAATTTGTTTTATAGATCTGTATAAAATGGAACGGAGTAAATAGCTAAAACATTTATAACACTCATCTGCGTAGTTCATTTGTATCTGGTTGATTGTAATGTATCAACGTTAAATAATAAGACAACAATTGTTGATTTAGAAGGCACTTAGTATTTCGGTCTATATAAAGATATCATTAGACAACTGTTAAATTAATAATTTTTAGAAACTATGCCAAGTAAATCATCAAATGATAATTGTTCAAATGCAATCATTTTTATTCGGTCCTCAACTCTTCTTTATGGAAGTGTTGGTTGTTAATCCCATCTATATAGTTTTTTGTGGATTTTCGGATCCATAATTTTTTGTCTTAACGGATTTATTTCATTAAAGACTATGTAATCTATGTGAAGATTCTAACGTATTAACTATACTAATCATGAAATGAATATACCTGGTCCGTTTTAAAAATCACGTTATAAGTTTCTATAATTAACAAACCTTGTACCACATGGTGGAAAGGCATCTTTCATGGAGGAAAAAGCAAGTCATAAAGTATGATTATCCTTCAATTAGGAGAAAAAAATGTCGAATGCACTATAAATCATGAGGTAGCCTTCAGTCATATCTGGCCGGAATAGCAACATCTGACGAAAATAAGTTAAAGTCTACATCCCGGAAGTAGGAGGATGTTAAGAAAGGTGAGATTGAATTAATTATAACATAAAAATTTGAGTAAATATAGATATAAAGTAGATATATATAAGTATAAACATAAATTTCAAATATTTCGTCTCTACCAAGAAATATTCTTTTCAATTTACAGCCTTTCGAAATAATTAAATATTTCAGACTACTCATCACTTTATAAGTAGTATACCATCGCATACAAAATAAACCAAATCTAAGACGTGAGAGTTTAATCATAACAAATGAACAAGACATACACTTATTAATTTCTGGAAAAATAATAGACGGAAGCAAAACTTTATCAACGAAAATCTATGCCGAGTATTTATTATATTGATGCTTTACAAATATGCATTCGAATTGATAATTAATTTTATGAACCTGATTGACATGTAACATTGTATATTCCTATGAAATGTATTCAATGAACAAGATGGATTTTATCTTCATTTATTTAATAATTCAGACTTATTTGACAGTTTTTACAGATCTTTAGGGTTGTTAATAATTTCCAGGGTTTTGTAAACAATTTATACGGACCCCTGAGTGAGTACAAAACTCCAACTACCTTAATACATAATTATCATGTGATTATTTTTAGCTTGAAATGAATAACTAACATCCATATTTATTCTAACTTGAAGAAAGACTTATTTAATTTAGCTATTAAGACTGTTCAACGAACGGTCATGTCAATGAGTTTATAACCTAACTTTTGTCACCCAATACGCTAAAAGTCACGATTGACGAGCCAACAATGAATGAAACTCAACTTGGAAGCGGGTTTTTTTGCTGAAATTAATGGTTATTCATGAAGTTACTAGTGTCATGTGATTTTTTTAAAAACATGGTAAAATAATCCCATACTAAGTACTGATTGTCGGCTTTTTGAATTATTTTGATATTTTATCGAGAAAGTGACTGCAAGTATGCTTCACGTTCTACTCAAGAAAATTTCGGAGGATGAACAAATGCCGATGGACTGGAAAGAATAACTCATTAAGATAAAAAGGTGATCCGTGCAAATGTGAGATATACCGAGGCACCACACTACTGCCAGTACCAGGAAACGTTTTCAACAGGATGTTGCTGAATCAGACAGAAGATTCAGTAGACGTCCAACTTCGAGATCAACAAGGTGGATCCCGTAAGGATCGGTCGTGCTCAGACCGAATCGCGACGCTAAGGATCATTACTGAACAATCCGTTGAGTGGAACTCGTCACTATACATCAATTTCCTTGATTATAGAAGGCGTTTGACAATGTGGATAGGAGGACTTCATGCAAACTTCTTCGATACTATGGCGTACCTAAGATAATCGTCAGTATCATCCAGAATTAATACGACGGACTACAGTGAAAAGTGATGCATGGAGGACTGCTGACAGATGCATTCCAAGTGAGTACCGGTTTCAGACAATGTTGCTTACTCTTTCTACCTCTTTCTCTTTCTTC